CAGCCCCAGCCCTCCGGCCTCGGCAGCCTCCAGCCCTCTGCCCGCACTCACCCCCGCCCCGCCGGGCTGCCGGGCCTGGAACGGGCTGCACATCCCTGTGCGGGCTGGCAACGGCCCCAGCTGCTCATCGCCTTGGCCTTAACCTTGGTTTCTTGGTAGTAATCTACTTAAACATCAAGATGCTTGTCTCTAACACTGTTTCGAAGACACAGCCCCCTTTATAACCCTGCTCAGCTCAAGGCACAGCTCCTGCCCTCGGCAAGCCAAATTGGACCTTCATCCGCCTCGTGTTCTCCCACTTCCACCTCTGCGGAAACTTCCCGACCAGCCAGCTACAAAATATCCAGCCAGTGCCCAAGGACTGGGCTGGGCCGGGATGCTCTGAACACTTCAGACAGGCTTCGGGGGTTACAGGCTTCAAATCCCGAACGAGAGCAGGGGAACACATCACCCTGAAAACCCCTTATATTTACTGTGAGAAAAAGCCGAGCAGAAACAGAGAGGGCCAACAAAGTCACCCTGCGCAGTTCCTTATCCCTTAAACTCACTTTGGCAGGGAGGGATGAGGGAAGCTGATGCAGGATCTGAGCCCGAATCTCTGCCTGCCCCGGCAGAAGGCACTGCTGGTTAGGAAGAGGTGGTTCAAGAAAGCCTTTCGGCAATCCCAGCTTCACCTCAGGGAGGAGAGGGTACCGAGTAGCTCGAGAGCACACTCTGCCTTTGTTTTTATTCCCTCGCCCTATTTCCACTTATGGGGACTTCTTTATTTCAGAGGTCCCGAACAATGGTAAGTCAGCTACCAGACAAGCAACGGTTTGTGCCTAGGTTTGCCTCTCACATTTTGTGACCTAGAGCTACCCTAGGACAAGCAAATCATATGCTTATTTTAAATAGAATATTTCATTCAGGACCTCAAGATTAAGGTATTCCTGTCAGATAAGCTGTCAGTCACTAACTACTTAGACACCACATTGTGGAAGCCTGGTATCCCTGGTAAAGATGATACATATCATGTAAACCCCATCAACAAGATCAAAGTCTTCTTCTTTAATAGGATCCAATACATGTCAAACCTCATTCCAATCAAATCGTCCGTAAATGAATTCAAGATGAATATGTCATAGAATAATGTGACAGTGCAATCACATGGGGTCAGGGGTTGTTGTTTCAATGAGAGAGTCGTCAAATATTAATTCTAGAACCTCCAAATGAATAGGCATTGAGCAGGATTAGGCAGCTGCTGGTGGGGAGTTCTGTCGCTGATTTGTGTTTATGCAAGTACGTTAAACACTAAGCTGAAAAAAATACAGTTTCCTTTGAACTGAGAAAAGGACATATTTTAACTTACTTGACTTTTCCAGGATGTTTCTGTAAAGTCGTTTTCTTTTCCTCATTACAAGGGGAGTCTTGTGCCTCATTTCCTGACTTTGTTCCTGTTTGGAGAGAGAGGTGGAAAGTTAAGAGTAAAACCATTTGTGTGTGATATGAAGTAAGGCACTCTAGATGTTGGCCATCATGGATTAAAAAAGAAAAGGAACAAAACCCAAAAAACCCCCAACCCATAACACCAAACCAAAACACAAGTTAGGCAATAAGAGGGGAACAGAAGCTTTCTCCGAGGGGAAACTGGAGGCTGTCTCCCCAGCAAAGCAACACATGTTTTATGGAGTCATGAAGTTTCCATGGCTGATTTAGGGAGAAAAAAAATATGAAAGGACATCTTTTCAGTTCTCCTTTGATCTGACATTCACCTTCTGGCAGGCTATTGTGAGGCAAGTTTTTACCCACTCGGCTATATTGTTTACAGATCCTTCCGTCCCGAAATTAAATTCCGGACTCTCTGCGAGCCTCCAACACAAGTTGTTGTCTCAGCAAGGATTAGTATAGTACCACCCTGGCACTTCTCCCTGCCTATAATTTTCAGCTTGCTCTTTGCTCTCTGTAAGGCAGAGCACTGCCACTGCTACAGGCAGAACTTTGCACAGCTTGCTTTGAGCGGCAGCAATAGCTCTGGGAGCAGATCTGAGGCTGGATACAATGTCTGAATCTGAATTTTTGCAGATATTTTTGAAATTCTTAGAATTTTGTTTGTTTGGTTTTTAATACAGAAAAGCACTTTCCGAGAATCTGGAATCAGTTACTTAAAATTACTTTATTATTATTATTATTATTATTATTATTATTATTATTATTATTATTATTATTATTATTGCTCTTGATACTATTATTATAGAGACTTCAGAGATAGTAAACAAAAATCTATACTAAGAAAAACACTTGATGATGTTAATTAGGAAACTTCATCGTATCACTGTCATAATCGTTCATAAGTAATTTGATGTCTTCAATATTTTCACTGATGTGATGCAAATTATTGCCAAAACTTTAGCAATCCCTTAGGAATTAAAATTCCTAGTCAACTTCCATTCATCCTCGCACTTTTCTCAAGTCAGAGCGGCCAACACTGCCCAGCTAGTGAGAGGTTTACAGGAGTTGTGCTTTATTGGTTAGGGTGGGAGGCTGGAGGAGTGCTCAGTTCCCAAGTGTTCCCCAAAACTTGTTGAAACTGGACAAAAAAAAAAAAAAA